ATTATATAAATGCGTATTTGCTGAATGCTGATGGCAAACGAGAAAGTATTATAATGTTTGCCTTTCAATTACTAACAATATAAAAGCAATCGTTATAATAATTTTTTGTATACATTTTAATTCCTTTGTTTAACAGTTCTATCTGATTATTAGACAGACTTATGTCCGTGGACAGAAACAAAACATACTTACAGTCGCTGATTCAGAAGCGCCAAATTGTCATAGCAAAGTCGGAATTGATCCTTTTTTTTAGAAATAGCCTTTGTGCACAGCCAGCCTTGTAGTACTCTTCTAGGAAAAAACTGTCGTCCATAAAATTTCTTTATGCACCAAGAGCTTGTAACACTCCAAAGAGAAAGGAAAACTTGAAATCGCATCATATGACCCATTTAACAACGACAGCGAACAAGAGGGAGAATGTGAGCACTGTGTGCTCAGCCATTCGGCGCTGCCATTCTCAGCGCCGTCAAAATAAATGTCTGGCGCGCAGTCAAAATAAACGTCCCGCCACGAACGCATCGGCCAAACAGAAAAACTTATCGGCCGATGCCGATATTTGAAAAATGCCATATATCGGCATTGGCCGATAAGTTTTTCTGTTTGGCCGATGCGTCAGTATATTGACTGATATATCGGTCGACCACTAATCAGAGCACAGTATATCGTCTCATATGGAGGAATAAGGACAGTGCCAGACGACGAGCTCTGTGTGTGTATGTAGGTGGCTTAGAATCTGCTAGTAAACACATCTGCTCTGATAAAGCCCTAAGTATTTTTAGACTCCTCACTGAGCAGCTCTCCAAGTATAACAACTGAGGCCAAAATTAGCCGAAGCGCAAGAGCTAGCACTACGTCCTCAATGCCTTTCTAGGTTTGTAGTCAAAGACCAGAGGATCAGAAGTGGCAACAAATATATATGGATGCTTAACATGATTTACACATGTTCCTGGATCATCATCCTTTGGTCCTGGAACATTTCTATCAACCAGTCAGAAGGAAAAGGGTTAGACCTAGGTCCTAGAACAGGGGTAGGCAAGTTCGGTCCTAGAGAGCCGCAGTCCTGCAGAGTTCAGCTCCAACCCTAATCAAACACACCTGAACAAGCTAATCAATGTCTTCAGGATTACTAAGGCTATAGGCAGGTGAACTTTTTTTTTCAGAGTTGGAGCTGAACTCTGCAGGACTGTGGCTCTCTAGGACCGAACTTGCCTACCCCTGCCCTAGAACAACAAAGAATGATGCAGGAACATGTTTTACAACACTCCAAAGCAACACTGCATTCAAGATATATTTGTACATCAATAAGTATCGAACCCATAATCTTGTTATTGCTAGCACAATCCTGTACTGTTACAGCAGTGTTTCCCAACCCTGGTCCCGGGCACCCCCCAACACTGCACATTTTGTATGTCTCCCTTATCTGACACACCCATTTCAGGTCCTGGAGTTTCTAATGAGTTGAATCAGGTGTGTTTGATTAGGGAGACACAAAATGTGCAGTGCTGTGGGGCACCCAGGACCAGGGTTGAGAAACACTGTGCTACAGGAACACTGCCTCACTTGGGTAAGTCATGTTGCGCATGTATGAATGAATGTATGATTCTTGCTTGAGTGCATGACATGTGTGGTCAAATCCCGGACAAGCCCCCAAATTGTGTTAGAACTGTAGATAAACATTTTACAGGCTATCACCTGGGTACGTATGTCAGGGGTGTCCTCCTGGAGGGCCAACGATCTGCAGAGTTTAACTACAAATTAATTTCACACATCTGAACCAGCTAATCTAGGTCTTTAGGATTATTAGAAACTTCCAGACAGGTTAGTGCTGAACTCTGCAGGATGTTGGCCCTCCAGTAACAGGACTGGACACAACTTATATCCAGAGCAGTTGTCACTGATACAATACAAGAAGCAAAGACAGTCTGTCTGCTTGACGTTGAGCCAAAGAGACAGCGGGCCAACCTCCCACCACGAAACAGTCTGAGTGGCTGATGGCTATTGTACACTACTGTTACGACATTGTTGCTCCATTAAGCTGAGATTTTAATGACAGCTGAAGTGATGCATGTCTCACTAAGAGGAAAAAGTGTAAATGAATTGGGAGGGAAGGGAAAGCAAGCATATAGGTCCTGTCAAGTTTAGAGTTAGAGTTTGAGATAGTGCTTGAACTGTGAGAAACAATTATTTATGGACATTGACTTTTATAGGTTGTGCTTCGCAGGCAAAATACGCTCCTTCTGCCAAAGCTAAATATCAATCCATCAGAAATTTGTTTCTTGAGGGGGGCAGAGAAGCATTCCAGAGCAGCATGTTCATGTTCATCCGACTAGTCTTATCTTAAATTAACCTTCAATGTCATGAGCAAGAATAAGTGTCAATTCATCAATGCAATGTTTAAAACAAACAAAAAAAACTTTTCAAATAATTTGGGTTATTCTTTTGGAAAGCTATAATGTATAGTGTGACTGTTTGCCATTTGTTTTCCTATTTAGTCCACTGTGCCAAAAGTAAGTCTAGAAAACACTGTGGAGAAATTATACGGCACATAAGTGTGTAAGAGTAATTAAGAGAAAGTAAGAGTGGTAGAAGCCCTTGTGGCATTGCTGATTTTTCTTTGTAAAGTTCTTCGTCTGGGAATGAAAAGAACTGTGGTGTGTCTCTTTTCTCCAGCAGTGCTGAGCTGCTATGTCAGTGGAAAGTTTGCAGTCCATCACATATAACAGAAAATCCTGTAACCCCAGAGGAAGTGGTTAGAACTCATTGTCAGGTCTTCTAATGGCATTAGGAAGACAGAACAAAAGGCAAATGGCAATGCAACTGGCCTACACTGCACAAGCTGAAGCTGCAATACCTAAGACTGTTATTTGTGTGTCTCAGGTAGACAGTTAGGCCAGGTAACTTTAGTACATCAAATCAATGGAGCCTCAGCAAAAACATCAGCATTAATGCTGAGGGTAACATCAGCATTAGTGCTGAGCTGAGTCAAAAAAAACAAAAACAAAAAAAAACATATAACAAGTCATAGTCAAGTCTTAAATCCAAGACACAAACTCTTAATAAAGTATGTGAACAAAACAATTTTAGCTATGCAAGGTCAACAAGTTAACCTGTCGACATGTTTACAGCTAGATACTAAATAAAAACACATCTGGTCTAATGGCACTGACAACTAGTGCTGTGTTCGATACATCGATACGACGATGTATCGTCACAGAGATCTGACGATACAAGTATCGATACAGCTGGCCCTGAAAAGCGTGAGGCAGAACCATCTAATATCCATTTCGCAGCCTAGCAAAATGACGATAGCGCTAATTAATGACATTAGATAGAAAGGGTTAGCAAATTTCTGTTTTATTAATCTCTGGCTTGGTGTTTAATCAGGCACAGTAATAATGTGGTCTGCTGCCAGACTCCATGGAGATGTTTGTGGTCAAGCGCTTTGTTCAATGGTGTTACCATTGGATTTAAGCTTGCTGCAGCCTCTGTAATGTGGTTAGCGTTCTGCAACATTCTGTAATGGGAATTAGTTTTATTCCTGAGATCTGAAAGCAGTACTCAAAATGGATAATAAAAGTTTTGTGGGTTATTAAGATTTACGATAAGAGTTTGACTAGCTCTTTCATTATTATGAGGCTTATATGTGCTATGGAAACAAGCTTGTACAGTACACATGTATGAATGCAGAAGGGGTTTGTGGGATACATTCTGGGACATGTTCCAATAAAATTAACTGCTTTTGGTCTCCTTTCATTTGTAAACAGCGTTCTTGAACACAGTTCTCTGGAAGAAGTCCTTATAAAATTGATGGAAAGCACAGACAAGAAGTTCAGTATGCAGGGTTCTGGTGGATGAAGAGATTAAGGCCAAAGAGATGGCAATGTGGTGTAACCCACCAAAGTTAGTTTCTTAAGAGATGGGCCACTTTGCAATGTCTAATAGTTGCCTGTGGTAACACAGGCTCAGAGGGTCTGGAAGTCTGATGGTACAGATGTATCCTGCTTTCCGGATGGGGACTGAGAGTGAATATAAGCACAAGCCCTTATCATCTATCTTTCCTCAGATATTTCTCCATTCACTAAGAAGCCTTGCACATCCCCATGAACTGAAGCTGAACTAAACATCAGCTGAACATGAAATGGAGCATCACATCCAAGAAAAACCCAACCCTGTTGCAAGTTTCAATGATCCTACATTTCCAAAGGCCTGCACATTGGCAGTAGTCTCTGTTTGGATAACCTAAACATTGCATGTCCTAAAAAAAACAATAACAGAACTCGCACAGTGAGAACATAAAACTGAATACTTGCCTTCATCCATATGATTCCCAAGTATGTCTGTCTTCTTTCCTTGAAATGTGTGGACCTCTGGAATGATAGAGAACGCAAAGAGAGAGAGAAGGTTTGGTTAGTCTTGTAAAATACCATGAAGACACTTTAGATTGTTTTCCAACTGTTGAGCTGCTTTTCCGTTTTATTTTATAAGTGAGTGTTTGTTTTTTCCACACAGAATAAAGAGAGGTGAAAATCAGGTCTCACAGGTAGTCAGTTTGTTCATTGTGTAACCAAAAAAAAAAAAAAAAAAGTGTTTCCATGCTGTTTAAGTGTCACTAAGCTCCCACACTAACTAAACAACAACTACTTAAGTGTTGCAAATTCTTCTTAAACATTGTTCTTAGACAAGAATGACTTTCTAAACAACATAACACAACCTTTTTTTTTTTTCTATAGCAACTGTATAATAAATTATGATAACAGAAGAGTCAATGAAACTGGGAGCAATACAGGTACAAAACAAGTAGAACAGATATTTCTTCATACCATGATGTAGAGATATTTATATGGACACACCCCTCCAACCGACCTCCTTTCAGTGGCCCTATGAATACAGCTTTATACAATTTTTAGCCTTCCTAACATGAAGCCTGTTAAAGCTGGTACTCATGGTGGGCAGGACTAATGCACAGCACAACAGCGTCTGGGCTTCACATTGATTTCTCTGCATTAGGCCACACTTCAATATTTCATCAGAAGCCATTCAAAATGGAAGGTCTATCAATATGCATTAAAGTATCTGGTGAAATTATTCAGCAGTTTAAGAGATATAGAAGTCTAAATCTGGCAGATGGTCAATATCATGGATCAGCATGACCAAAAGCCAACAGGGACTTAAAAGCTGAAAACTCAATTTTGTTTTGATATCAACAATCGTAATTGACTCTGCTGCTAGTATGAGAACCTCATGATTAAGTTATGAATCCATTCATGAGTCATACAGTGACCTGTCACGATGCACACGATTGATCTCGGGATCAATTCTATGTCATACAAAAAACGAATGCAGCCATTTAGCCACCAGCAAAAAGCTTTGGCTTGAGGAAAAAAAAAAAAAATGTAGGATAAGATAAAGGCATAGAAATGTACTGTGGGTAGTTGACAAATGGACATGGATTTATTTTTTTTACATTTAAAATTTTATGTTAAAATTTCTATTTTTTGAAGGCGATTATTTTAAGGGAAAATGTATGATTTCAGATGTGGTAACTAGTCACTAGTTTTAAGTAGGGCTGCTCGATTATGACAAAAACCATAATCATGATTATTTTGGTCAATATTGTAATCACGGTTACTTAACAATTATTAGTGGGCCATATAACCAAACCATTTTTTAATGCAAGTCTAAAGTATTCAGTTAACAGCCTATAGAAATGGAATAATCAAATGTAAAATAAAACAGCATAGTCTTCACTGTAAGAATTAAACTTTCTTTGTTTCTTATTTAAGCTACAAAAGACCTTCTGTGAAGAGCAGCGAGTGATTTTGTCCTTGTCTTTTGTTGTTTGATTAATATGAAGCACAAAGTCGGCAGCAGAAATAGCCTGCTGTCACTTTAAGAGCCACATGGATCCAATTTACTGTTACACACGTTTTTTCATTCTCAACTGTTTACGTTCACTTAAGACATAGCCGACAATTGTTTATGTCAGTAATCACCAAGTGCCGCGCATTTGGACACATTTTGCATGTATTTGACAGTTTAGGCACGCACCTTAAGCTAAAAGAGGAATTTATACATGTCCGTGTTCCTTTCCGTGTCGGAGCGCATGCACAGAAGTCCAGAGGAACAGCGCGAGTTCTCTTTTGCGCTTTTAAAAACATTTAGTCAACAAATAAATAAAGCATGAC